ATGTCGTTATGTCATAACCCAGTAATATACCGTTTCCCAAATTACCCAAGCACCAAGAAGAATGCTGGAAAGATTAGGTCATATGCTGCAGGCAGTCGCCTTATATGTCTAAATCTGGGTTCTTAAATGCAATCGCATTTAAAACCCAAAAATAGAAGTTCACAAACGCCGCTGCAAAGCGCCACTTGTAGCAGCGTTTCTGCCTTTCGTTTTGAAGCATTTACTTCTACAGACGTGAGCACGTACAGCGGGAGTAACTACACTCAGGACATGTACCTTGATCATTAGAAAGGTTTCCAAAAAAAAATATCTCTTAGCTGGTTTATCCGGTGATAGCATATGCAGGGAAACACTAGGAATGTCGCAATATTGCCATTTTGTCTCGGCTTGGTGATCCCATTGACCCGAAGCTTCAAGTTGCGAAATGACTTTCGGTGAAACAAGTAAAATACAAAAATTGCACGCAAGCAAGAAAAAAACACGTCCACATTTTTTGCAGTTTGGCTACAATTTTTAACCATTAGTTTTTCACTTTTAGCTAGACTCCATTGACTAGAATGCCATACAGCGAAACCGTTAAATCTGAATAGAAAGCGAGAAGTTATAAAAGTTTTCTTACACAATATTCGTACACACTACAAATATCTGCCCAGGGATCCTGGGTTCGAGCCCCACCCCTGCCCGTTTCGGTCTGGATGAGCATCGTACCGGCGTGCGGTCGTGTATCACTACTGCGTGGTGCATGTTAAAGACCCCAGGCTAGCAGCGGTTGTACTGCACTGGCTAAATTGCTCATCTACAGCGTGTGACTCGTCGCAACTTTAATGGCAGACCAACTACACGCTGTATAAATATCCCCACAACCCCAATTATTATTACAAATATCTGTGTAAAAGTATGCTTGCAAAATCCATTGCCAATGGGTTCGATTTTGTTTTTTCTTATTTTTCCAAAAATATAAGTGAAAATGTGTTCTTTTTCTGTTCCTGCTCTTTGTGTAAAAGCTTGTATTCTATCTCAAAATATCTGCAAACATTTTTTTTTTCGATCTGTAAAATCTCTAGAAAACACATTTAATCTTAACAATAAGAACAAGCTTCTGTTAAGGAAGTTTTCATAAATGTGGTTAGTCTTTGGGTACGTTAAAAGAACAACATATACTCTGCCCAATCCTTAAGCTGAGACTAGAGGGTCCGCCTTCAGCGCGAGCTCATTGGCTTCCGCAGTTCTTCGCTTGCACTTGCCGGCGCGTTCACACGTGTATTATCAAGGGCAGAAATTTCGCGATGAAGGCGGAGCTTGAGTCTCAGCTTAAGAGTGAAGCCGAGTATTGAGCAGGAGATCGAACTAAAGGGGGCGACATATCGAGTTTCTGTCTCCGCAGCCCGGTGTTTTCTTAGACAGCATAAGAAATAAATTGGACGTCACCTAGCACATTGTGCAAACGAGCGCTTAGCTCTGACCAGTGCTTTGGTCACACGAGGAGCGGCGTTCGAATAGTAATCGTTAAATTCTCTGACCAAAAACAAACCAGCAATATTGTTTTGTCCCCATAGGTGAAGCGTACAGCAAGAGGAGGGACTCTGATAAAATTAATTGTTGGGCTTGTTGGCTACACGCAATAAAGATCGAAAAGCGCAAAGGACAAGGAAACGAAGTTAAAAAAGGCATAGCAAGCGCCTACTTGGATAATTAAAATTACCTGTTTTTTTTTAATTGCGATATCAATACCCGCTCTGTATTTCACTGCTAATATTATGAAACGTCAGTTGAGAGTAAGCGCTTATCCTGTCTTGTTCTACCTCTTTTCCTTGTACTTTTCTCTTTTAGATTTTTATTATCAGGCGAGACTGTTCGATCTTCTCTTCATGGCAGCCACGGAATCTCTACCATCGGAAACAAATCCCCATACAATTCACCATTCCAATGTTTACGAGACCTCAGCCAAGCGTGCGATCTCCTCAGCCAAGTACGTCCATGCTCGTCGCTGAGGAAAGCGAACACCTCACACGCCATGCGCGCGAACATAGAAACGGGAACCAGCCAAGAGCCCCTCTATGGAAGGATCTATACTGCCTTTACCTAAACTCACTGAATATCTCTACCTCCGCCTTTAAGGCAGCAGCCAAAACTACAACCGGGAGCTAACCCGAGCACCCTGTTTTAAGACGTTCCTTTCTTGCGCGAAGGCACGTTCTGCGAAAAAAACGTTGCAAAGCGGAGATATCGCGCACTCGCGCAAGTAGCGTTGGCTTGTAGCCTTCTTTATCCTCACAAAGCGTGGCCTCTCATCCGTTGTTTGCCGCTCCACCTTTTCAATTTCAGGGGCCGCTTCTTGTGTCGACCTGTCAGGATTGGTCAGTATATAGAAGGCTAGGTTGGCCTGCGATATTAACTTCAATAAACAAAATACATCTATATTTTTTAGAATGTATAAATTGGGCACTTATTTTATTAAAACACTTGAACGAAAAACCAATAACCGGATATTTCAGCCAATAGACACGAATTTGGTGCTGGTAGGCCAGCTCTAAGTCACGCGCATTAGTCAGAGGTGCGTAGTTGGCTACACACAGTCACTGGGCTCTCTTTGGTTAGAGACCTCATTGACATGTAGGATGTTGCTTTCGAAATTGTTTCTCCGTGTGGTAAGTATTTTACTCGACATTATTGTATCTTTCAGAAAAACACAATATAAATAAGGTCACTATAAATTTCAACAGAAAAACGAAATTGCCTCTTCGGTCGCGATGTAATATTCGGCGATTATTATTATAAATGAAATAATCTTCTACTAGAGCTAAAAGTATGAACGACTCGCCATGGCCTGTCATTACAGATGACCTAAGGGAACGCGATGCTTTATTTTGTGCTATGAATGTTCTGTTCTGGTCACACCTGACATTGTGAGAATATATATAAGTAAATTTTGAATAAACCTTTATCTTTGAATCCAACAAGAACGTTGCAGTAAAGTCACAATTCCCGAGCGGAAGGTTGCGAGTCAAGTCAAAAGGTGGATTATTAACTGATCGTCCCGAGAATTAAACAAAAACATCATCAAGCAATCTTTATGTTCAGTCATTATGTATATGACAAGCAATCCACCAAAAATTTGTAAACAAATATCAATCTATTTTTTAATAAACTTCAAATTTCACATGTTAGGTTATAATGAAATTTAAAACAAAATAGAGGCCTATTAACTAAAAGTTAAATTGATGTAAAACCAATAATTTTTCAGAAAAACTATTCGAATGCAAAAATTGTATGTTTTAGCAAGTTTGCTGCAATATATCAACAGTTTCTTAAAACTCACCTAAATGAACTTGATACTTCCTGATAATTTTAATTGAATCTAGATGCTGATGGTCGTTTTATATCATAGATCTTGCGCCTTTAAGTTTCTACAATTTTCCTTTTATGCAAACGTGTTTGGGCTAGCCGGATTGTGATATTGTAAAAATATATGCATAAAATATATAAAAAAATTATTTTTTTCTAAATAAAGTTCGCAATTGTGTTTATGAATACAAAAACATAGTGTGAAAGAGCTAAACGTTGTGTAAGCAACGGCAAAAGTTTCAAAACAACTCAAGTCAAATTTCTTATGCATTCTACTCAATGGTGATTCATAAATATTTTCTAGAAACATTTGGTGCCCTAACTTTTTAAATCAGAGTTTCTTCAGTTTGAGGATTTAAGCTATATATACTTTTTTTTTTTTTTTAATCGGGAGATTTTCGCGTTTTTTTTTCTCACTCCCCGACAATATTGGTTGAACAAAAGAAACCACCTTTTAGTAACTGCCTTTAAGCATAAATACATTTCTAACATTTTTATTGAAAAACAAATAATCTAAAACACTCATATCTACACTGCGCTTGTTATCACACGGTCTCATAAGTTTGAAATAAGATACGTTTCTTACAATTATGAATTATTTTACTAAGTTTTTATTCACCGGAGACAACATTTTATCTGTAGAACACTATAAATATTTTGAAACAAAATTTATAAAAAGCTCAACCGTTTCGATAAATAATTGCCTTTTTTATATAAGCGTAATGTCAACACTTCACCAGTTAGCGCGTTTGTGTTTTTAATTAATAAAAGAGTTTCCTTGGCTTTAGAAAACCATTCCTGCATATATTCCGTTTTTCTTCTTTGGGCGCATTTTATACAGTGTAAGTTTCTGATTGCACCTTCCAGGTAGCCTATGCAAATCGCGCTTTAAATTCGATTTTTTCCGTGTGCCCCTATTTTTGCCAATAGTTGATGTCAATGGCAGCAAAAACTTTTTTTTCTATTTCAGAAACGGCCTAAAATACAATATTTGACTCAAGTCTTTCGCTGCAAATAGGCCCTCATTATCAGACGGTCAAAGGCCGACTAAGAGCAGTGACCTACGAATATTTTCATCGTCATAATTTCTCAAGATTAAGCCAACGGTCCGGTATACTCCAACGTCGAGAGTACCGAACGAGGCGTAGCCCAGCGCACACAGATACTGATTGGTCGCAGATATCGAGTTCCTGCTCGCCGGACAATGAAACACGTGCGTTCGCTGCGCTCAACATCGGGGCGTAACGAAACATTAAATGTGTTCCAAACCAAAAAAAAAAAAAAAAAAAATACAGAAAGGTGCATCACGGCATAGGGATTTTCCAGCGCTTATCATCGCGGAGAACCACGCTGTTAAAGGAAAGCTATAGACTGCGCACGTTCCTAACGCGTTCCACAGGCCAGTAGACAAATTTTGCAGCACACAGCCGACGATTATTAGGAAGGTCTATGAAAGAGCAATTTGGAATGCCTGCAGCTCTTATCATTCGAGATAAACCGACGTGAGCAAGAACAACCGTTCCGCCTACTGTTCACGCCATGCGGTCCAGGACGAAAATACTTGACCTCTTTTTTACCGATTGCGGGACCGTAATCGCGGCCAGACGTTCCGTGTTCATGTTAATCAAACCAATAGGCAAGCAACAATGCTTACCTCACGGGGAGACATCACAACCTGTATCAGTCGATATCACGGAGACAAATAATTCAGTAAAAAAAAGGTGCCTGCGATACACTGTATATAAGGCATGCATAAGAACACGCACTCAGATCGCAGAGTAATCCCCCCCATTTCTGCTTTCGGGACGCTGACGTGCGGTAAGGCTTTTATTTTTTTTTCTGATCGAGAAAATATACACAGGTGAAGTAATGCAAGAGTTTTATTGAGTTGAATTGTAAACTACGCAGTGCTAAAACTAAACCATTATTAGAAAAATACCACCCAGAGTTTTAAATTGATACTACGATTTATTTTACAGGTTTTTATATTGGCCAGCTCGGTGTTCTGCTTCTTCCTTGGTATTCAACATGGTCATGCCCCGAATGAATATCCTCAACTGTATCGTCTTAATTGGTAAATACATAATTTGTTTCTTTGTGTTGAATCGCCTACGTCCAAAGTGAGTTGTAACAAGATAAGTGCTATTCGTAGTTATATGGAGCTCCGTGAGAAGTCATTTCAATACCCTGTCCAGAAGAGAATGAAGTTGTGGTACAAGTATATGCAACCGAAGCGATTTTAATTTGAGTGCTCTATAATTATTGTTATTTTTGCGTCACGACTTTCATGCGTGACCGTAGGTCGCAAAGCAGATGCTGCGTACATTAACATATTATTAAGTAGGCTGGTGTATTTAAGTCCTCCGAACTATAGTTTCGCGATGACTTCTATTATGATAAATAGTAAACTATAGAGTTCATATCAGATTGGAAAAATAGGCTTCTTCTCGGTTAAAATGAAACAACTCTGCCCATATTTTCCAGGATGGATCACTACTGTAACGCCGACAGTGATGGATCCACTGGGCTATGATCCAACGGAGTCTTTAGGTAAGCAAGTGAATATAAGTTGGAGCCAAACTTTCCAATAAATGGCACTGAAAGTGTTTTGCTTACCATTATGCTCAATATTTATCTTTTAGTTTTCGAGTAGAAATAAAAGTGATTTCACTCAACCTTGACATAGCGCTTAAGATAAGGAAACAATATTCTGCGGCTTTATAGTGAAGGGTACAGGAAAGGAAGGCCGAAAGGTTTTCAAATACTTTAATATATATTTTCGTTCGGGAAGGGGGTAGCGATGGTGTACTAGTGTTTAAAGATGTTTAGAAGATGCATTTTTAGAATGAAATCCAGATACACGTGGGAACTATAAAAAATAACGATCCATTCGTTGCTGAAGAAGTGAAATGATAATATATTCTAAATTTTAAATTCTAAATTCTAAATTCTTCTAAATGATAATATATTATGGTTCAGTGCGCTGCAGGCCACTTCATGAAACCGTGTCGTCAGGAAAGCATTTTTATTTTTGTCTCTCTGTGGGTTCGTCACAGACGCGAAGGAATTGTGCATTGTTTAACAAACTGTGAGGTCAACAGCTTATTGACTGAGATCAGTAGTTCTTAGCTGCTAATGCTTGAAATGACTGTCCTACCTGTTGCAACTATAAAAGTGAAACTTTGAGATTAACTGTGTATTTATTAATTGGGTGATTTCATTTGAATTCGACCAAGCTTGTCGGGGGGGGTCTTTAGATTTAATCGTAAAAAATATATATGATACCCGAATCCTTGTGATAAAAGAAACTGCCTTTGAAAAAAATTAGAATTGTATAGTTTGAGAGAAAAAAATTCTGAGGCGCTGCAGGGTAGAACACGTCAAATTCCCAATTTGATTTTATCTCGACTTTAGCCGCCATTTACAAAATATCGAATTCTTGCAGAATTATTATATTTATTACGCAATATTTACGCAGACTTGGCTATTTTTAGAGGTAAATTTCTGTCTTCTGTTATTTTAAATTAATTTTCTAAAAAATCTCAAACATGCAACCTAGAGCAAGTGTGACGCAACTTCGGACAGCTATATAAAACGAACGGTAGGGCGCAATGACGTGAGACAGATATCTGTGCGTAGCTATCAATGTAAGCTATCGATTGACATGTATTTTCTGGTTATTGTGTTTACCGTGTTGTTTTTATTCTGCCACAAATGTAGACAAAAATGAAAAATATGCAAATTTTGAAGTCAATTTTCTCAAAAAAGCCATTTTTTATTTCGTTCATACTTTTTTAATTTATTGCCCAGATTCTGCTTAATAACCGGGTATAAAGATTGCTTGACCTTTTTTTGTTGTAGTTTTCGGACAACCAGTTGAATAAGTCATTTTTATCGCGTAATACCAACCTCCGGCTCCGGTATGCGGGCTTCACCGCAACATTGATAATTGGCTCAGCAATATCAGATTTCACTGACAACCACTTTACCTCGTTGCATTCCTAGTAATATACTTTTTACAAAAAAAGAAATGTCACAAAAAAATGACAGAAGGCAAGTGGCGTAGGCAAATTTTTTTTTCTCTTTCAAACTTTTTTAATTGATTTCCCGTGTGTTGCTTACCAGCTGGGTATGCACGTTTTCTGGCGCTTTTCTTTATGTTTGTTTTTACATCAAAAGAAAGAGCCATGTTCATTACATCAGTTGCAACTGGTCCAGTTGTTAGGTGAAGTATAGGTTCAGTAACCTCTTCGCGAGCGCCAGCAAAAGGCTGCGATTCTTATCATGAAGATTACCATGCGACTCTTAGTTGACCTCGGCGTGCGCCGTTGCAAGAGGGTTATACTAATCTTGTTAGAGTGGAACTCGCGTCGTCACAGGCTGTCGCAATGCATCACAGCGAAGTGGAACTGTGTGAAGCAGTCCTTGTCCTTCTCCCAATAAATTTATGGGCGGAAGCTTCAGACTCTTTGGTGCCCGAAGTTTCTGTAGCTCGGCTGGGTCAAGTTTGTCAAAAGGAGAAAACAAATGCAGTAAACACTAGACATTATCACGCCGGTCGATGGAGTCGTAACTGTATACATACAGCTTTTGCGGATGCTTATTTGTTTCAAGGGTGGCAAGTTATCACCAGTACAAACATGGCCACAGTGTCGGCAAGAGCATCAGAACAAAAAGGAAGGTTTGGTTGGCTTATCATTTTGTGTCTTCGTTGCAGCGCTTTTCTCCGGAACTAATGTTTGTAGTCCTCTTTGAGCCCCTGGTGCTATGGTCTGTCTGTTTCTCTTATCCATTATTTATTTTTACTCGTAAGCGAATAACACGCACCATGACATTTCTGGCGTCCTTAGGTTGATTCGCTAATCAGTGTCTATATTTGACAAACTCATCTAGTATAAGAGAATAAAAAAAATATAAGAAGAGGGCTTGCAGCAATGAATTTGTATAAGAGAACTGCGGAACTGCGTCGAAAGCAGAAAGCCGGAACCTCCCGAGGAATGAACGCGTTATTTTGAACTCAGTCATGGCTGCAGTTTTCAGCTTTAAAAGAAAGAGTTGCGCGGACTACTTCGAGAGACATAAGCGAAGGGTATACCGCAACCGACGTTTTCGTTATGTCACCGATCTCAACGTAGACGCCTTGAAGATGATCCTGCCTCCATCGAAAGCCGCGGCTCTTGCGTTGGATGACGTGCTCTGCCAGAACTGCTTCCAGTACACCGGTGAGAAGCTTTCATCATCTGTCAGTGATCCATGCTCGAGCTCTCCAGCAAGCTGCATCGAAGAGCACGAAGTAGTGGAAGGTCTTAACGAAGAGATTTCTGCTGCTGGGCTTGAAACAACTCCTTTGCGCATGCCTTCTACAGTAAACCCGAAAAGCCGTCAGGCATATGCTGAAAGAAAACAGCGGGAGATTGAAGGATCACACAGCCGACAGGTACGAAAAAAGTTGGCGACTGCATATACCTTGGAGCCAAGTGGGTCAAGTTCTCGCAGTGATCAACCATGCCTCGGCTGCGACGGGTGGTGGGCAAACATCAGAGAGGCCTTTGTGAAGGCGGCATCTTACCAGGAGAGATGTCAGCTCCTCACGCTAGTGCCCAAGGGCGTAGCCACTAGGGAGGTAAAACGGCTAATTCCTGAGGCATCGAAGTACCTTCTGAAGAAATCAAAGCAGCTTCGTGAACGGTTCGGCGTATGGGAGCGTCCGGAGCCTTATCACGGTGGAAGCATAAGCGAGGACACCATACGGGCAGCCACGCAATATTACACCGACGACGATCTCGACTGTTCTCGGCAGAGCCCAAACAAAAAAGATGCTGTTAAGCTTCTGAAGGATGGCGAAGAACATGTGGTCGTGAAGCGGTATATGACAAGGTCTGTCCGAGAGACGCACAGGCTGTTTAAGGAAGCAAACCCGGACTCAAAATTAGGTCTGACTAAATTTTACTCGCTGCGGCCAAAGTGGGTCAAGCTAAACCCTGAACAGACTGTCTGTGCATGTGTGTGCTGTACGAATTTCGATTTGTGCTTTTCCACCCTGAACAGCATGCGAGAAGAAAAGATAACAAAAGAGGAGATTCTCGCTTTGTGCCTCTGCCCTGAACCCTCGTCCGAATGTTTCAGAGGCGAATGCAAAGACTGCCCCTCGACTGACAGACTCTCCTTAGAATCATTGGAAATGGTGCCTGAAGAGGAAATTACATTTTTCACATAGGAGAATGGTAATTTGATAAGCAAGACTGCCGACTCCAGCGCCTTTTTGAAAGAGCTACAGAAAGGGGCCACAAGGTTTTCCATGCACGATTTTATTCGTAGGACACAACGGGAAGCCATACGGATTGAGAAGTCTAGTGTGACCTCAAGACACATCGTCATGCACTTCGATTTTGCGGAGAACTGGACGGTAATTTTGCCACACGAGATACAGGAGTACCACTGGCACAAGCGTCAGCTCTCTGTGTTCACGTGTGTGGCATCCACGTCGCAAGGCTCAAAATGCTTCGGCGTTGTCTGTGAGGACTTATGTCATGACACTTCCCATGCGCTGCTGGCTCTGAGACTTATAGAAGACTGGCTGGAGGAGCACATCCCAGTTTATGCTTCACTAACGTACATATCCGACGGGGCACCTGCTCATTTTAAAAATAGATTTCAGCTGCATGAGTTCGAACGAGTGGGCCATACCCAATTGAAGTGGATATTTTCTGCCTCTGGGCATGGTAAAAACTCTTGTGACGGGGTTGGAGGGCTTCTCAAACACCACGCAACGGTGCACAACCTCCGTTCACCGGAGGAGCAGCTCGTCCGAACATCAGTAGATTTTGTGGACAAGGTTGGAAGGCGTGTCAAAAACGTAACTCTCATGAACTTAACCGAGAAGGAGGTGAGTGACTTCCGCAGAATCAAGAAAACAGAGTGGAGTTGCGTACCGACTCGGAAAGGCATCCGCGCTTCGCACGTGTGGCGACGCGAAAGGGGCGAAGTGCAGCTTGAGCGAACTGTTCTATCTTCGTCTTAATGCATGAACCTCTGTGGTGCACGTGCGGAACTCTCAGATGATCTACGGCTTTGTTTTGTTTTGTTGTTAAAGCCTCTTCTTGTACATTTGCGCTTCTGTGAAAAATTATGTGTTTCTATAGGTGTGCCTTGTTAACCCAAATAAATTACTCAATAAATAGAGTGCTTTTGTTAAACTGTTACCTATGAGTGTTTTATTGCATACTGCCAACAAAAGAGTATGATTACTGTAAGCTGAAAAGCAACTTCCGATATGCTGTGCGTAGCCCAAAAAGTTTAAACGTATGCAACAAGTAGTCCAAAAGCCGAAGGATGGACAAAATGTAGTCAATTTTTTTTTTCACGTACCTCGGAATACTAAGGGCCAATGAAGGATAGGCGAAAGAATGCCATGCGGTAAAATTAAAAAATTCGAGCCGATTTTCCGATAATGTTTGTATAAAATAAAGATTGTCCGAAACGCATAAACGGGGATATTGTTTTTCTGGACTGGATAGTGCCGTAGAATGCAACCCGACATGATCGAAACGGATGAAACGTCTTGGATCTCTCCACTCGCTTAGGCTAGTTAACATTGATGTTAACTAAATTTACTTTTGTTGTTGTTTATCACGTCACAATGTTCAAACAAATAATTTAAATATATAAGTTTCGTGCAACCTCAGTAGTAAAACGTTGTCGTGGCGACGTTCGAAAATGCAAGCTGTGACTTCGCAGACATCACTTCGTCAATTCAGCCATCTCTCATTTCTTTATGACGTTACTGATTTTTTTTAAAATATATTAGTAAAAATTCAACGGGGTAAAGTAGTTTTCAGTGAAATCTGATATTGCTGAGCCAATTATCAATGTTGCGGTGAAGCCCGCATACCGGAGCCGGAGGTTGGTATTACGCGATAAAAATGACTTATTCAACTGGTTGTCCTAAAACTACAACAAAAAAAGGTCAAGCAATATTTATACCCGGTTATTAAGCAGAATCTGGGCAATAAATTAAAAAAGTATGAACGAAATAAAAAATGGCTTTTTTGAGAAAATTGACTTCAAAATTTGCATATTTTTCATTTTTGTCTATATTTGTGGCAGAATAAAAACAACACGGTAAACACAATAACCAGAAAATACATGTCAATCGATAGCTTACATTGATAGCTACGCACAGATATCTGTCTCACGTCATTGCGCCCTACCGTTCGTTTTATATAGCTGTCCGAAGTTGCGTCACACTTGCTCTAGGTTGCATGTTTGAGATTTTTTAGAAAATTAATTTAAAATAACAGAAGACAGAAATTTACCTCTAAAAATAGCCAAGTCTGCGTAAATATTGCGTAATAAATATAATAATTCTGCAAGAATTCGATATTTTGTAAATGGCGGCTAAAGTCGAGATAAAATCAAATTGGGAATTTGACGTTTTCTACCCTGCAGCGCCTCAGAATTTTTTTCTCTCAAACTATACAATTCTAATTTTTTTCAAAGGCAGTTTCTTTCATCACAAGGATTCGGGTATCATATATATTTTTTACGATTAAATCTAAAGACCCCCCCCCCCCGACAAGTTTGGTCGAATTCAAATGAAATCACCCAATTGTGTATTACTTTTACGTGATCCGTATTTTTATCAGGGGGATTTTCTTCGCCATCTTTTTCTTGGTATTAAAAAATGTGCAAACCGTTTATGCTCAAAATTCTGCATGAATAGATTATTTTATTGACGGATACTCAAGTAATATTCATGTTCGGTTCCTCTGACCCTGAAACTGAATCTCGACTATAGTTGGTCACCTTTTCTTCCGACGAAATGTGAGCGGCTTATACTCATACCCATAAACTCATACTCCCAGGTGCAGTGAAGCTTTTGATGTCTTCTTGCTGTGCGACTTACTGATACCCTTTGCAGAAATCTATTTTAGAGAAGAACGAACACCCTCCTGTGTCATGTACAATGTTATGCACCATTTGCACTGGGAACGGGAAAAGTTCAGTTTGGCTATTAACTTGACGATATTCAGTACAAAAGCGGGATGTGCAATGTTCTTCAGGTACGACGGTGTTTGGAGATGCATGAGCTAATGATGATGGTCTGATGATACCGGCACCTAGCATTCCTTGAATCTTGCGCTTCGGCAACATTTTCTTTTCATGGGACATACTCCAGAGCCCTCTTCGTACAACAGAGCTGCCATATACTTTGAAGCGAACCTTAATATTTTATGCCGCTGGTGAATGTGGTTCTAGACATATAAGTTCCGACTACAACGTTGGCACGTCTTCAGCACGTTTTAAAGTAGGGTGCTCGCGAAAAGGAGTCCCAGGGCGAGTTTCCGCATACTGGGTGAGAGTCGCTTCGCCCTTTCAAGATGTGTTCACTTGGAAGCGCTTCATTTAGTCCGATATTCGATGAACATTCTATCTGCTTCTCCTACGACGAGTGCCTCGACTGTAAGTTCCTTTCCATGGAACTCAACTTTCAGCATATGTTGTAATTCTTGTTCTGAACTTCGACACTTGAATTGCCCAGGCCTCGCCGCCCGGATGTGCCAGTGAATGTAAAGCAGAGATTGGACCCCGACCTTTCAGCTCTAGTGTCAAGCGGGGGGGGGGGGGGGGGGGGGGGAATGAAATAAGAATACACGCCCGGCGGCAAAAAGGAGAAGCCTATTTGACCACTCAACGCACAGTAGATAACTTGAGTTTCGATTATTTGTCAAATGTCCTTATCATGTGAAACTAAACCTACTAATTTGCCCAGTGTTCCATTAGCTTGACAGTGTCATCGTGTAGCTGTAAACTTCGCTGAGCGCTCCAACTCCTCCCTTCTCTGCGTCCACGATATTGTGATTGGCAAGGTTGATGAGGGCTCCAGTGTCCATTAGAACATCACAGGTCTACCACTGACAGTAACAGGAGCGTAGACAATGTTGTACTCAACCAAGAAACCAGTTGCTTTGTGCGTCATCCGGGGGGGACTATACCGGGGGTGTAGAGAAGCTCGTTTTAGCGAACGCCGTTTTACTGACCCCAGCTTATCGAATACTTTTACACAGAAGCCCAGTTCATAAACAATGGCGATGAACGTCGTTTTAGTAAATTCTGCCTCCGCGAAGCGGCGTGCACGGGTGGGCCAGGGGGGTTAACATTTGTGTTATGAGCCACCACAGATTGTAGCCGCAAAGCGTCAATACACCGTCACCTTTTCGATAAACCACGTTTGTATAAACTAACGCTAAACCTTGTCTAAACAGAGCTTCGATAAAATTTGCCCGTTCTCTAAAATATGTTTCGATGAAATGGTGTTCGATCAGCCGTAGCAAACCCGGACTGTATACAATTTTGTTTATTTGTTTTCTTTTTCTTTTGCTCTTCTCTAGCGACCGTAATGATGTAGATGGGTGAACCGTGCCTTGACTTTCTAATCCAAGCCTTGCTCGCTCGGATCTCGTTTCCTCAAATAAACGTCGAATTTCGTACATCTGAGCTTGGTTAATTGCGGGAAGGGGGGGGGGGGGGGGTTGTTTTTTGTAAATGTGTGGTAGTTCACAGTACATAATAGTGAATGCATATGATCTTCGATGGTGTTTGGAGACTTTGCCCACATAAAGTGCGTGCTTGATTATTTACGTCCTTACTCATGCCAGGGATGACCAGCGCAACAATTATGCTTGCGTTGAAGTAGGATCAGTGAGCCGAAAAAGCGTTATTTTCATATTAAGTATCTTAGCAAGCTGCCCCTTAGATCTGTGTTAAAAATGCTTTATTTCGAGGTATTACAGCATTCACTTCAATACAAGTCGTGAAGCTGTTTTGAAGCATTTCGTAAATTTTTTTTTATGCACTCCCAGAAACAAACTTCAAAAGTTCTTGCCATTTCCATAAAGGAATAATCGCAAAGTTTAGTTTAATAATTTTCTTCTAAAGAGCGATTCTTCTCTCTAGAATATTGGCAGATATTAAGCCAAATAGCTACAGCTGAGTATACGCCATCAAACATATCCGACTTCACTATTCATCCCTGCCTGCATTCGTGCGCACTCATAGCTTCAGCCATAGTGGTCATAAAATGCATTTTCTGCTTAAGTTGTAATGCCTTTACCTCCAGCTGCTGAGCAACTGCTTATGTCAAGTGCTCACCGGCGGTTGCCAATTGACGAGGAGTGGTGGTCGGCTTGTTCAACCATTCTCGGAAATTACGCGTCGCGATGTTCAGCTTTGCAATTCGTCCTTGAACATGCTCTTCTAGCGAGAATTAAGCTTCATCGGAGATGATCGTGATGAACTCCAAGCCATTAGCTTCATGGATTAGATAACCCGGTTCCTCAGAGTCCAGTTTGTAGCTGATTTCCCACGATCGGTTGTCTGTCTTCGCCTGAAGGCAAATATAGCTGGATGCACATTAATCAAACAATCATGACTGCTGCGCCCAATATAAATGATCAAAGCATTATATATTAGTAAGGGCGCTGTTATTCCTTGCTCTGCTTTACTGTCGTGTCTCTACATCATCTTAGTCCTTTTTATAGGCTCACACTACAAACGTATGTGAACAAAACAGCGCTGGACCTCTCAGTTTCTCTATTGACTTTCCTGCTCATGTAGAGCAGCCTATAAAAATAATATAGGCGAATACTAATTCGCCCGCAATGCTACTTTCGTTTGTTTTTTGCGACGCCATTCAAAGAGGCGTATTTTTTTTATTTATTATACCGAAACTGCAAGAGTCACCAATTCAATTTTAAAACGCTTGAAACAAACGGGCAGAGCAGCTTGCATGCGTTTATTGCGTATGCATGAGTTTATTACGTATTTTTTTAAGTGTTTCAGACTTGTAGCTATACAATCGTTTTGTCCTGGTTATAAAGGGTATGCAGCAAAACTGATTTCAGCTCAATTGTGATTACTAAATACAACCGAGCAGCTCGTGTATTAGCCCGGTAAGATAACTTACGAGCTTATACTGGTGGTAACTTACACACACTTTTTATGAATAATATCTTAAATTAAATATACGGGTAAAATATGACCAGCTATTTGACATAATGAGAAAAAATACTCATGCCTTTTTTTCTAGGAGTAATGAATGTGAGAGTCGTTCCGCTGAGTCCTACCAAGGCACTGGTCAGCTGGAGAGCAATGTGGCACAACGCGTTCTTCAAGGTAAGGCAGCCGCCACAGAGCACGGCTTGTTACTCGTCGAACAATGCGTTATCGGGGTCGTCTGCATTTTACAAGACGAAACAAACATAATACGTAGCTGTCGCCTAAAAGCTCCCATCTCGCAGGTGTCGTGCTTCTCTCCCGGTCAAGAGGCGGTACCGTCGGTTTCTGTGGTCCTTGGAGAAGACCATTTCGATAGATCCGAAAAAATGGCGCTGCTCTCGGAATTGAGGCCATCGAAGAACTACACTATTGTAATCCAGGGCTGTCTCATGGAAGTAAGCTGTGGAATTCCAACAGAGACCTGGGTCATCACGCAACCACACAGTAAGGGCATAATTACGTAGTTCCGCGTTAAGTGAAAGGCAGATAACATAAATTAAGCCCTAAACCACAACTACAAAAACCGGAACATCGTCTTTCAACATGAAACATTTGAAATTGGGTTAGTGACAGAAAGGACCTCCAATCATTTTTCTATTCCGTGACTCCAGCAACAGTGTTTTTTTTTGTTTTTTTTATAACATAATATCAGAAAGCGTTGTCACGACAGCAATGCAGGAATAATGAAATGACTTCCAATTTCTTAAAACCTAAATGTTAATGTTTAATAGCCAGGTTTTTGTTTCTAAGCATTGTCTAAAGGAATGCTGAACCAAAATCTGGATTCCACAAAACACGCGGCAAAAGCGTGCGACGGGATGCTACAAACACGAAAACATCACTCATACAGCGATATCTCGAACGGATGACCGTATTTTTTTAAAAAAAAAAAGGAGGTGCATTTGAAAGAAATGTTCACGTCATGTTTCTCCGAGAAGGAGAGGGAACGGCCTCGCGTCTTCTCCGCCTCGCCGCCTTGAGGGAGCGAAGCCAAGAGAGGAGGAAACGATGTATCTCTACGTCACGCGCCTCGTCGGCCTGGTACAATCTCGACCTCTTTTTCCCAAAATACGGCCGTTCATTTGAGATATCGCCTTACGAGTAGTGTTGTAGGGATTGTAGAATCCCGCCTACATCTCCTGCATTACTTTTCTGGAATCAAAACTTCAGGTCACCATGCCTTTAATTCAATTTATAATTTATATAATTTCTACGAGGATGTAAATAAGAGTATAGATTTTATATTAAAGACTTGGTCAATATTTTCTGTCGAAAAGATGCTTACGCTTATTTAACAAAAGAGTATCAGGAAAAAACAAGCACATTTATTTTTTAATGCCCATAACAAGCTCTTTTTAAAGGCATAAAAACAAATGTATCTTGTCAGGTCTAAGTAAAAACATAATCTTATAAAAAGCAGTGCTTACGGCACCAAGATTGGTTTCCGCCTGTTTAAACTGTATTGCACAAGACCAATGCAAGTAAATTGCAACACAAGTAAAACTATGACAGTAGAAAGTTTCTATATATAAAGAATTCGGCAGTAGTAGTTCCGTGACTACTATTTTGAACACTGTTTTTGCTTCATTTTGCTAGCCAATTTGACCAAAAGTCTCAGCTCCTTTCCTGGAATGTGCAATCTGCAATAATAAAATTTACTAAACAAATTATTGTTTACTGACTAAAAATAAAAATGGTTAAAGAAAAGATTCCAGCGAGTGGAAATTTCCAACACACGTGACTCTGCGGAGAGCAAGCACTACCGATACGTAACTAAAAATAACGAATGCAGTGAAACAAAAACAAAAAAAAAGAATCGATTGATGATCACGTTGTGGCACGTATTTTTATAAATACTAGGCATACTTTTAAGTAGTATACTAGACCCTCAAACGTTGGAAAATTATTGCCTTGAATTTTTTTTAAGTATATTATAAATATTTAAAAAATATTGTTGCCCTTGTAGCTTGCAATATTGGAATACGATTTATATCGTGAGGCCTTATTCTTGAAACTAAATTAATATTTTGATCATCGTCAAACTGTAGCGTTTATCTAAGATATGTCGACATTTTTGAAAAATAAATATCGCATATACCGGTCTTCTAACTGACACCTTTTAGTTCAGAACAAAAAGTGTGTATAAGGCGCACCTTGTGGTTCGATTGCTGCATGCTTATTTGAAACTTGTTTTTTACCTGTTATTAGAAGCCCTGCTATTGCGGTTTGGTGCTTCGTATCATCTAAGACTTCGAACCTCACATTTCTTCGTTTTACATTTTGTTTTCTTAGGAGAGTCAAATCCGGAAATTGAATCATTGAGACCCACGGTCGAACCTGTGGCTTCTGGTAAGTTTATATAGGAATCTCTTGCGTTTTATGACAGAATAATTAATAAACAATAACACCCCACTCCCATGGTGTAGCGTGGGCAACAATATTATATTTCCTCTAGATTATTTTTTAGCTATGGAAGTTCAGAGTTTCTACTTAAGCTGCTTCGCATACAAATATACAGCCCCGATTTAGCTCGTTCAAGATATGCTTGAACAATAAGGTTATATCCTCATTATTATGAAAACAGATAAGTTATGTAGTAAAGTCACGAAATTACATCTAAAGCAATTCATAACGAGCAGTATTTTGTTTAATCCAAGTTAGTTGCGTCGCAATAAAACAAACATTTATTTTAGCGTGCTGAATTTACGCTTTCAAATATAGTCCTGGAGACGAATTTATTAAACGACATTTCTGGTTCGTATATACATAAAAATGCAATATGTTCTATAAATATACAAACTGTCGCCGAAACGAAATTACTTTGCGTCTGCACCGTAGAAATAAACAGTGCGCAAACGGACGCTCAGTTGCCGACCACATCTATCGCTAGCCTTCCCCACTAGAGGCAAAAGTTCCACAAGTGACCGTTACCTTATTGCAATCTGTATGCAAATTTCTCAGTTTGAATCGAAATAAACGGCTCGGATTCGTTGCAGCAGCCGCCATAAATCTCCGGGTATACGACGATTCGTTGGCCATCATTCTCCTTTTAAAAATGTCTCAGAATCCTTATGACTTTTAAACCCGATAACGACAACTTCTAAAACTATGAAATCTTTACCGGACTGCATAGAGCTATATAAGTGTGGGGACTGAGCATTCGGCACAGCGCAGTCTACTTTTGCGGTGTAAAACAAAGACAAAGGAGAAAAAAAAGGAATAATGCTTACAAACTGATTAATAAAAAAAAATTCATTTCGTTTTATGTTTTTTTTTAATTGATCTAAAAGGCTTATTTGATTTACACTATCACCAGTTTAAAAAATGAACTGTTTAAAATGTATATGAAACGCTTATTAGACGACCTTCTGCATGCCACAAAAACAGTTAGGTACCTTGCATATTGCGAAAGTGACGAAGGTGTGACTACGTGCTTAATTCATTAGTTTATTTTTTTCCGGCAGTGTGCACACTGCTATATTTGCGACAACTTTCTATGGCTGTGGTGTCAGAAATATAGAGACGTTTGTGTTCACCGAGTCCCATCGTTGACTAGAGCTAGTACTATTCTTCGCCAGCTATCCTCTTTCCCATGGAAGTCCCGCAGAAATATTTTCCCCGATATTGAAGATGATCATTTGCCAATAGGAGCGAGGAAAGAATGAAGTCACGTATTCAACATACAAACGAAAGTTTGACCATACCCGCCATAAATCTCATAAATATTGTTAAAAAATATAAAATTAAAAAAACTGTATAATTTGAAATTTTTGCAGTAGCAGAATGGATTACCGTTTAGGTCGAAAATAGAGCTTCGCATGGTTTTTTAAGGGACATCTTTTGTCCAGTCAATTTATACTTCCGTATAACTTTAATGCACAAATTTTGAATATAATGCTGTATTCTGCTTATTTTCGTATCATACGTGACCAGCGAAAGAGGCAATGTCTAATATCTTAAAATAACCAGGACATCAAAACAAAAAAGGAAAAAAAGATACATTTATATATATAGAAAACAGGTTAGAGTAGTACAGTGTTATTCAAAAACGAGACAAAAACTCAAATTATGCCAGCCATTAACATGTATGTGGTCGTTTACTTCTCGACATTATTCTGTTATTTTCGAAGTGCGTCACCGAAACTAAATAATGGCAAAACAGTGCCCATGGCAATCATTTCATTGAGAATGTCGATTCACATTAAAAAACGGAACTTGAATTAAATAAATTAAAATGATAAAACTTGAGCTGCTTGTAACATCAGGGACGCGTATACACTATTTGTGCTGACAATACAACGGCAAGTATTAAATAATTACGTTATCAAGCGACAATTATTTTTAAGAGCACTGTAGCATGATGTAAGCGCATTTTTTATATTCTGGTGCTTATAATATTATTGCAATGTTGCAAAAATTGGAAAGAAATTGTAAATTGTTTCCAGACCAGAAAAAACCTATTCAATTCTATAACAATGTTTGTGTTGAATGCAAACATTCTAAAGAAATCGCATTCTAGAAGCCTTAGATGCGCCTCCATTTTTAAGGTGGATTCAAGAAAAAAATTAGAGAATTAGTGTTAAGCCAAAACAAAAAAAGTTTTAGGCATGAAATGCACCTCCCAAGTCTTCCCTGAGCATTTTAAAATCTTACTGCTGTTTGGGTTATCACACCGTCTCTATGTTTGACTCTTAGTGTAAATTGCATTTGCGTTTATTATTTAATATATTTATCGTTTATTATATTGCGTTTATGTAGTCTGTTCTTTTTTTGTTATTTTTTTATATTTTTACAAATAAACGCTTTTTTGTTGGTTTTTACTTTTTTATCAAATCTTTTCAGTCGCCAATGCGAATGCACTTGAACAGTTTTCCCAATTTTTACATAATATAATGCATTTAAACATTATTGTTGTTTACGAGATGTACAACATTGCATTTGTGCATCTGAAATGTTTTAAATTATTTAGACGAACTGTTTACACAAAGAAAGTTTTCAGTTCCAGATGCAGCGAGTGTTATTACCCTGGTTGGTGGGAACTCGACGACTGCGGCCGTCAAGTGGACCTTTAGAGACACGGAAACTGTTGATATTCAGGTGGGTAAACTCGTCGAACTCAAGTTGAAAGCTTCTGGGATAATCTTAATTTGAGCGCTAATGCAGAGTTGTATTCGGATTTCGAGACACTTTTAGGCAAACACGCAGCGCATGTATCTATGCTAAGGCATTCGTTTATTCAACAGTGAGGTTCAGCTCTTTCCAAGAAAATCCTTCGTCTATACGTTGACGACTTCAACCTAATGCATGCTTATAATCTCTGCACGAATCTAGATCTGCACAGGTGCGCCAACAAGTATTCATTTTACAATGCCCGATTATTGAGACTAAATGGATGTTCACGCAATTTAAAATATAAAAGATTGATTAATTTCGCGCACAAAGAAACAAGGACTAAAGAGAAGGTACCACAGAACACAGACAGGCGCGCACTCGCAAATCTGATATAATAGGTTAAGAAATGAAGTATGAAGCAGCACTTGTGACAAGGGACACCTAGTGCCACTATGTAAGCTACGCGGAGCTCATTTAGTGGCTCTAGGGACACCGACAAAGGGAAATACAGTCCATTCGCAACCAAATGACCGCAAAGAATGCACTTCTTCTTCACTCAAAGCCACTCACGTCTGACTAAGGCAGCGATGTCCCAAATCCTAGATGGTAAAACCCGCGAGCACGTCACGTGTTTTATTTTCGTATTTTTAAGCCGCCCAATAATTATTTTTAAAGATGATGAACACGAACTGCTCTTACATTGTACCAAAAGGTGACCCCCTAATGTTGAAGTTAACGAGAGACTATGCTCTCATAGCCGGTCATTCAGACAATGTCCAGTTTGTCCAACAGTGCCTCGCCCACAGGGGAGAGGAATACTATACACAGTACCCGATGAACACGGAACAAAAGGGCGAGCCTGTTCTTGTGACAGCCTGTGTTTAATAGATTTTTAGAAACCTTAGAAAAAATGTGACGCCTTTTTGAGGGACTGAGAGCACTAGGGGCACACCATACCTCTTTGCCACTTCTGTTAGATTATGTGATATTCTGTGTACACTTGGAAAAACCACCACTCGTTTTTTGTCAACATTGTGCTTATAGCCTGCTTACCCCCTTCAAGCTCTTCTTACAGTGTTCCTACTACCTCCATTAACTTGAATCGGGAACGCTGAAGATCTTCGTCTATCGATTTGGCCCAAGAAATTACTAGAAGTGACATCCAAACATGACCTTTTTAGGTCTGAAGTGTTCAGTGCGAAACCGCACAAGGAGGCCTGTCCTTTCAGAGCAATTGCCAGAGAGAGGGGTTCGTTACTACGGCAAATGTCGATACAACTCCCGAAACATCACTCCGGTTTGCGGATTGATTATCTCTTTTTGGTCCGTTATTCTGAAACTCAGTTTCAAACCTTAATTACATATGTATTTTCCAATCACAGTGTATTTAACGTATATATGCAAGACCTTTTTTTATTCCCTTCACATGATCCTTCACTTAGCTCAGTCAGGGCCCGTATTGAGTCGCAAAATTAAGTTTCTTACCGGAACTCACGTGGAGTGACTACAGTTAGTTATCTTGAGCCACTGCACTTTCATTTAGATTCCATATTAGTCGGATGGCAAAGCAGGGTGCTTTTACAAAGATCGGATCTGTGCACTGGGACCTTTCCCGCCCCTGTCCTAATTGATATTTTTTTGTGAGAATTTACCGTGTTACTGCAGTAGCTGTTAAGACCACGCTAGTTTTCAACATGTTTCGATATTTAAATAATCATATTTTAATGTTCAAAAAAACTGCGGATCAATATGTACTTAGTCGGATTATGGACATTTTTTCAGATGTGTAGTTACGACTTTACATTTACTTTTGACAAGGCAAAGGAACGTTTCTTGAAATTCTTAGACCTGTATCTCTCATTGCACGTCGATCACGTGTCCTGTTCTTGCTCATCCAGTTCCAAAAAAGGGTATTCTTTACTACAGGTCTACTCCCCCCAATGTAGGGAATATTGGCGTAGCTATCTTTTGCCCCTCGTCCAGCTTTAAGAACGCCATTTTTCTATGACATTTATATCGCTCTCTTGGGCCAAATCGACAGACTAAAATGTTCAGAGTTCCCGATTCAGGTTTTAATGGATGTGATAGAGCCACTAGTAAAAAAAGTTAAAAGGGGTGTAAAAACTAAGCGCAATGTTTGCGAAAAACGGACGGTGTTTATTCCATATCTGGGGGAAATATCACACAATCTAAGATAAGTGGCAAGTAGGTATGGTGTGCCTCTAGTTCGCTCAACCCCTCAAAAATGTGTCAGATATGTTCTAATGCTCGTGAAAAAGCAGACAATCTATCAAAACACACGTGCCACAAAAACATGCGCGGCATTTTGTTCCCTCTCGATCGGGCGTTGTGTATAATATGTCTTTTGTCTGTGGACGATATTACGTTTGACAGGCGGAGCGGTGTCTGGTCGACCGGCTACGAGAGCGTAACCTTTCTTTCACACTAACGGTAGGGGGTCAGAACATTACAAGAGATGAGTTTGTTCACCATCCTTAGAAAAAAATCTCAATTATAAGGCGGATCGAAGAAAAGCAAACACGTGAGGTGCTCAAGGCGTTTAACATCTTGGGTTTGGCCGATCGTTGAGTTATGAGAAATCAGTTTCTTTTTTGCGGTAATCTGGTTGCGACTGAACTATATTTTATTTTGTTTCGGTGTCCCTTGTCTTGCGTCTTACTTCATCTTTATTTTCTTCACCTCTTACATCTGAGTTGCGAGTTCCGCCTTTTTGTGATTTGTGTTTCTTAGTCTAAACTAGCCCTCTCGGATTTTCATTCTTATTTTAATAAACGACCTTCTCTCTTTCTCTCTTCTTTGTCCCTTCTTCTTTTGTCCTTTTCTCTTTAGCGTAATTTTTCACAATGTCCAACGTTTACGACGTCAGAGAGATTACCACATCACTACACTTAACATATGGCATAGTGAACTAACTTTATATCTCAAGCTTGTAGTAGCGTTCTTATGTACATTTGTGTTTTCAATGACCAGCCTTAAACTAAGAAACCGACAAAATAAAATTTGAAGAAGAAAATTGTGCCGAGCGAATGGGTTCAAGTTTTGCCCTCAACAAATTTCAGCTAACGAACTGCTTACAACGTCGTGTCTTTCCAAACGCCTATAAGAATAGGTTAGCACACGTGACACTCACATGTCTAGAGCTAGGGTCCTGAAAGTAATAGAAACACAGTTCTTTACCATCTTGTCAATTTAAATCGTATATTGTGACAGTCAAATTTGCCGTTTCTTTTTCGTTCTTGACAATTAACAAGTTATGGGACCCGAGTTTGTAACACATTTTATGCAAGGGGTATAAAAATTATATTCAATTTGATATCGCAGGTCTAATGATCTGCACCTGTTTAACAGTCTTCCTGCAAAGCAATCTGAAGGGAAAGAATAGAACGGATTTAGTTGTCGTATTCTGTTTGTCTGACAAAAAAAAACGAACCATTTTCATATTTCTCCGCTAGAAAATGCGCTGTCGTTCTTAAGGCCGGTGCACACACACAGTGGAGCGCTAAGTTAGCGTCTCATGAGCGCTGGAAGCAGCCCTCAAGTGGGACCAACTTGCGCGTGGCGAAGCGCTCGGTTAGCGCTTCAGCAGCGCTTAAGCAGCGCTCGGTTAGCACTTCAGCAGCGCTGTCTAAGCGCTCTCACACCCCTTCTGCCGTGTTTCCTGCTGCGGAACGGCGCGTGCACGGTGATTCCGTTGTTATTTTTTCTTTGGTTGTGAAAGAAGATGAAGCAAAAGAGCCGCTCTCCAAGTAAACGGTCGGGCAGGCCATTCACTGGCCTGAACTTTGAGCGACTAATTCATTGGGTACGACCTCATCGCTTCCTATTCGACATGCGTGACCCTGGTTTGAATGACACGCAGTTAAAAAATAATCCCCTTCGAAAGAGATCTGTCTCGGTCTCTCAGCCAGAGAAGAAGGTTCGCCGGATACCCGCTGGTATATCGGTGGCGAAATATTTCGCGTGCCCAAAAATCTCTTCTGGGCGTTAAGCCGTCCACGCACGTACGCAATAATTGCGTATGTAACAGCATTTGTCGCGTTTCTATTTCAGGGTCCCTCATGTCCGCCATGGTGCTGTTGATGCACACCCCGCTACAGGAACCGGAACCGCAGTACACGCGTTAATCCGCAACAGTAGCCGCAATACAAGAAGCGATATCAAGGCGCTACTGAAACGCTAATCGCGCGCTATATCACAACTAAGTCACGCGTAAGGAAGCGCCACATGAGCACTCTAAAGAGCGCTCACGTGGCGCTGCCTTAGCGCTTCGCTGAACGTGTGAACGGGCCTTTAGGATATGGATACACTCCCGCGGTATATTTGTAAAACAAAATAGCCACGGCACTTTCTAAACTTGTTTTGCACCGAATAATATTGTGCGTTTACGCAAAGCATCGCAACGTACTGGGATTCTTAAAGCTGCTATTTTATACTCAGGCTTCCTTGGACAACTCAACCTGGCTTAACTGTACGGATCCGAGTGACAACTGTCGGATGAGTAGCTTCTACGATGACTGGCTGCCATATGATCGAACTGGGATGACGGTGTTCACCCATCTAATGCCTGGACACAGATATAGTCTCTGGGTCAGGGGATGCAACCATGTGGGCTGTGGTGCGGCCCGCTCCTTGGAAGTGCAAACAGGTAATAACTTATTTCATCAAGTTCAGTTCAGAAAGACGTATAATTTCCCGAACGCAAAGCGACTAGCTTGGCTATTACTGCGGGTCACGCCATTAGATAAGCCAATAACCACTGATGTGCATTAAAACTTAACATTGATGGTCACTCGTTGCATAATACTTGCCATATCGTGATAGTAAAAACAGAACATTTACTAGTGCGTTCTGTACTTATAAAATTCACGCTGAAACACTTTTCCCAACGTTCGCTTCCCGCGTAAATGTAACTAAACGCGAGACGACTCTAAACACCACTGACCAGTCGTGACATCATACTAGGACATTTAAGCCGCAAAGGGCGTGTCACACGTGTGGGTAGCGCGTGCAATTGGAAGCTTGCCAGGAGTATTCCCTCGCAATGACAACAGTCGTGACGTCTTTTTCTGACACCTAAAAGAAGAGAAAAGACTGCGCGTGCATACCTTTGATACGTGCTGTAGACGCTCGAGGGCGGAGGCTCCGAAAACTTCTAATATGGCGTCACGTCCTGGGAGGAGGGGCTTCAGCGGTACTTTGAAAATTCATTTCTTTAGCCTCCGTGCGCGAAATCGAATAATAATCTCGTTATTCGTGATCATGGAGGCCAAATGCAGATGATTTAAGACTTTTTTTTTCTCAAATACAGTTTCTCTTTAAAGCTGTGTAAAAAGGTTCGACAATAGTTTAAATAAAGAATATTGCAGGTTTTCAATTTTATTGCGAATAACAGCTCACCATTTCCAAACCTAAATTCGTTTAATATTGCCTCCAGTAGAATCTGATATCAGGTTCAAAGCGCAGGAATAGCTCTATCTGACCTTACGGACACGCCCATAAAATCGTATCTTAATTTATTCAAAAATGAAAAAAAAAATTTCCAATTTAAAACAAGCTTTTAGCGATTCCCTGAAAATGTGATCTTAGGAACAAGATATTGTGTATACATTTTTATTTTTTATATACACCACAATTCTAGATAAGTTATCATTGTTGGGTAGAAAAGAGTCAGGATATTGAAACTTACAACACTGAAAAATGCAAGTTTTTGTAGGTAGCTTCATTCTTCTGAGGGGATATCTTGCATGTACCATGTACCACATATTTAAATTCCGATAAAAAACAAAATTCTAGAGACAGTAGATACGGATTCGCGCAAAGTGAGCGATATTCTTAAACTGAGTATCTGAGTTACAAACTAAAACAACAAACAGATCTAAATCGAAGCTGAATCACCTCGAACGTAAAACAAATATTTAATAATCTTCATTTCAAAGGAAATCTTAGTGCGATGGGTAAAATAATAAGCTCAAATGTGTACATATTGTTTCAGGTATGAAGGTCGCTGCATAAGAAGACTTCAACATGCTCGAAGCCAAACACGACGCCATTTAAAAGAAATGAAGCCCTCTCAACCGGGCCTCATTCCAGAGACAAAGATTAGTTCGTATGAATGAAGGAAATACAGACATTATTAGTTATTTCTTGCTTCTTTAATTTCCGGAATTAGAAATCAATGGCCCTTGAATAAAATATGCATCTTGGAAGTCTATCACAGAAGTTGGGAACACGATGTACTGCAGTAAAGCGGAGAGTTAATCTAGATGGTAAGATGACATCACATTAAACGCAGCGCGCAAGCAGTGAGGAAGAAAAGAGGACACAGAGCCCTGACTGCCAGCTGATGTATTGCGAAATAAAGAGAAAGAAGGTACAGTAGAAATGAGACACACGCACCATAGAAAAAGGAAAGCCAGTTATACATGAATGAGCTCTACCATAAAGACAAAGAGAAACGAGAAAAACCACATACGGGAACCAATCAAATGTAAGAAGAAAAAAGAAGGGAAAAAATTAAGAAGGATCAAATACTGCGGCTGCCAAAATTTTTCGTTGTAGACGTTCGCTAGGAAGGCTCTCAAATCGTTATCACTCAAAGTACGCGAGGGGTGGCTCGCACATCACTTGCCGATTTTTGAATATGAGAGGCCTCTAAATTTTCTCGGCTTTGCTGATCTCAATATCTTTCTATTATTGTTCTGTGAGGAAACAATGGCGCGACAGGTTTTTGAAGAACACCGGTAGCAACAAGAACAATTTTTGTTTGCACATACAGAACTGAAAATTCCCTCAACAATTAGCAGAAAAGCGAACGCAAGCGATGTGTTTTAACTTGTTCGCAGATTTATTATTAAATAACACACAAAAACCAATGCCGCCTACAAGCGCAAGCTTGGAACAACTGTGCCGAACACAAATAAAAATCCGAAACTCGATTCAGACATCGACTTTCCAATATATCTCGCTTTCACACCTGAAGATCGAACGACAAGTCGGCACGGGATTTAGGGTCAATGCAAGCACGACACTTTTTTTTTTGCGACAAGTCCTAATGCCACTGAAACTGCAAATCACAATTTTAGTTCGCACGCAGTGGGTTGAAAATTCGCTAAATGTCACTTTTAGAACGTAAATTGAGACGAAAGAAACGGACGTGAGTGATCTGTTTTAAATTAGAGTGATGCAATACACAGGACGCCGTGCACCTGCATCAGGAATGGCTATACGTATAACGCGGTGAGCTCGCGCCATTTAGTGAATTTAGTGGTGGATTTCGGTTCCTGAATGAGTTTATATAAATGCGAACGTCGGGAATCGAATAGAGATTTGACTATTTTGATTGGTTGTACATGGGGAGAATGTGAAGAAGCTGCGTGTGATTGGACCCGGCTCCATTCCCCGGATGCTCTATGATCGCATCCATGTAAACCCAGTGGTTATCTTGCTGCCACATTTCGCCGACACCTGTTTTGTTTTTACATCGAATCCGAAGAGTTTGTGTTACCACAGAGGTATGCCATAGTATTAGCTTTTTGTCGTGACAATCCGCTTTATATGTGGTATTATTTTACTAAGTGCGTAATCAAATCTGTAAGGCGATAAAACCTAGCTTGTGATTCACTGAGTAGTGTTTATCCAAGCCTTGCCCCCCCCCCCCCTTTTTTTCCTTCTCCCTCTCTGCCCCGTAAACCAGGGGAGACGCAAAAAGTTTTGCATCGTGTGCATTGGCAATTCCGATGGGCGGTGCTCCAGTCGTGCGTATAGCATTAATGTTTAAATTATCCAAGTGTATGATTACATAACTCGCGGCCTACGTCGCATACAAGTTCTGATGTGGAACTGATCTGTAGAACGCGAATCGCAAGAAAACAACTTCATCTTTCACGATTCATGCGTCATGCCGATTGTATGTGCGTAACACTCAGCTACGCACAAAGGCGCCATACATCTCCAAGTGCAACGTCCGCACAGAAACAAAGCCTCCCATGCGGACGCTCACGAAACATGGACCAGGGTGCCTCCCGGCGAACTATCGCACCGCGCTGCTCGCCGTCGGAGCTTGTAACTACGCGACTTCCGGGTCCAAATCGTTAAAGGTAACACGGGAAATACTAATCACGAATTAAGGGTGACGCAAAGCAAGGTTATAGTGTGCTTCGGGGTATAAACGTGTTTCCTATTGCTAAGGTCTCTTTTTTTTAATCCTGGTCGTAGGAAGGACGCTGTTAGCTGACATCCATTATTTCATCGCTCGCTCATTCTGTCTCCACCATCGTGCTCATCTTCCGCCCATTTTGTATGGGTTTGTTGCTTGTTTTTGTCTTTATTGCTGTGCGCGAGTGCACGGGGAAGTTGGAGAACCAACGGCGGCGTGGGCCGATCGCCGAGATGGTCGTGACCACCGTTACTAAATCAACTCAGTTATGGTACTTCCCATAGACGCGGTACATTGGAGGGTGTCCGAGACTGTGTCCGAGTATTTTGCAGCTACACTCTAAGAAAAAATGACTACCCTGGGTAGTCAAATGGCGTTTTGGAGGCTTTGACTACCCTGAAAGGCGAGTTACTAGCCTTCGGGCAAAGTGACGACCCCAAACCGCTGTGGAATGTCCGCCTTTCTGCAGGTGACAACGGGGTGTGGTCACTTTCGAATCCGATATTCACTGCAGGCAGTCGTAAATGATATTAGTAACTTGGATAACTACTGGAAGACTATAAATGATATGCTTCCTTAGCTTTCGTGATCCTTTAGGATCCGCCAAGATCACATATGTTGTGCAATTCGCGTAAATTGGTGGAATAAACATTTTGTCAGCGTGAGCAGCAACACTGGTCTTGACAGCCGTGGACCGTGGTGGGGTGTAGCTCGGGCATCATAACAACAACAAACCGCGTGGGTGTTTGCTAAACTGAGGTGAGGATATTTTTCTGCCCTATATTATTGCAAAGAATATTTTGAAAAAAATGATTAGTTGTATATCTGATCGTGTTGAACCATTGAACACTGGGATCGAGGATGGGCCGGGTAAACATGCTCAGAGGTATGTGACTGTGTCGCCCGTACTGTTTTCATCAATCTCGGACTGCATGGTTGAATTTCTGAGCTGCACCGTCGTGGTTGTGATCTCCTGGCTGTACGTACGTAGTGCGCGAACTTTCCAATTCAGTAGCAGGTTGAAATTATAGGGCAGCGTAGTAATTGGCTTTTACTAGATTGTTGTTTCGTCACGGGCGCTATTTGTGCTTTTACAGGCGCCAGCGCGAGCCCGAACTTGCGCCTCTTTTACCGTTTGCGTTCTTCTGGTTTGATGTTCTGCTCTATGATTTATTAAACCTAAATCTAAAGGTCAATCGCCTCTGCCTCGTCACTCATCTGGACACCTCATAGCGCTGCCACTCTACCGGCCCTTCCTGGATGTCTCCTGCTGCCAAGTAGCAGCCGGATCGTCGAACCACCATCATCGTCGCCTCTCCATCAGAGGATCACTACATGTTGGTACGTCAGCTACCACTATCTTTCGGCGCGTCGGCTACCGCTCTATTTTGGTGCGTCGGCTGAGCCTGTTGGCCCGTCGCGTTACTTCGACTGTTTAACTTTTTTCTGGGCACAAAAAGAGCCCCAGCGGTTTTTCACAACGTTCTTGCGCTCGTGCTCGTTAATTTTTTTTTTATTTTTTATTAGGGCAGTATGTAAGCTTTTGAGGTCCTTTGCAGTGTTCCAACATTTGTGTTCCTTCAGTTCTTTTAGGATAGTAAATAAGCCCCTGATGTTCTTCACAGTGTTCCAACGCTCGCGATTGTTCAGTTTACCTGTCTGCCTTCACTCTCAGAAAAAAAGGAGCCAAATGAGCAAAAAAGGGTTCTTTTCGCTAAAAAAGAACCGATTTCGGGAAAGATCCCTATGAAGCGTGCTTTCTCAACCAAAAGCACCCCTCGCAAAATAAAAAAAGAAATGCAGAGCTAGTTTCCGGCCTGGAAAGAGCGAAAAGGGTTCTTGTTGCAGCCAGGAAAGAGATAAAGCGCTCTTTGGAGAAAGAAGGTCACTTAAGTCTTCTACCGGATAGAGGGACACAATGACCAGGCTCGAAAGGCTTTGCACGCGAGAAATTGGGTGTACCATTCTGTGGAAATAAAGCTGCCCGTGTGAGCTGTCAAGTCCTTAAAAGCTTAGAGAGGCGGAATGTCGTAGTTATTTACCAAGTCGCGTGCAATTTGATGCCGAGATAATCTTCGCCTCCGTCCACAGATGAAACAGGCTTGGATGCCTTTGACTCCCGGGTCACCTGCTTCAGCGGTCTGAACAATGGCGTTCGTTTGCAAACGTAACTGCTCGCCGTGTTTTATTTAGTAAGAAATGTTAGTATAAAGCTACTCTTTTGGTACTCATTTGTATAAACCAAACGGGTCATTAAATTAAAGTTTATTTGAAGAAATCTGTACCTGCGGAAATCGAATGTGTATTTCATCCCCCCCCCCCCCCCCCCCCCCCCCAAAAAATGCATACATATTTTTGAAGGTGCAAAACTTCGATCAATGAGCAACACACACACACAAAAAGTGCGTGTTTTGATGAATGCGTGATACGGTGATTAAGCGGCGTCGTGTTTTTTTAGTAACAAGAGCCATTTTTAACTTCCTTTCGTGTTTAAACAATATACGTATAACTGCGCGTATAAATGAAAAATGAATAAAACAGAAAAAAAACTTTTTTTTTAGTATAGAATGCAGTTGTTTTAGCTTGTGGTCACGACACAGCCCGTCTCCCAATACGGCGCCTCTAATTGTTTCGCGGCACGCGCCAAGCCGCAAAATAGAGTTGGGACCCATCCTCGAGTGGCATCAAAAATACTGCTGCGCGGAAGGTTAAAGTGATGTGTTGCAGTCATCTTTATCTTCGGAAATAAATCAGCCTGTAAATGGTGGTTTCTCGATTTCAAGGAGCAGATATGTCTAGAAGGATACCCCGAAGTAATCCCATAGGCATATTCTATAAGTGCGTTTTGAGTGAACGAAAACTAAACTTCGATATGTTGTGCGTTCAAATGTATGAGTAATAACGCAGTGTAAAAAATGAGTGCTCCGTCCGCCGGTGAACCCCGCTCGCTACTTTGAGGTCGCCCACCAAAAGTTAGGAAAATGGGATGGCACGAGGAAAAAAAAACAGAAACGTGTTCGTTGCCGTTCTCATAGTTTTCGCGGGCAATATGGCGT